CACACACACACACACACACACACACACACACACACACACACACACACCTCTCTTTTTGCCTTACAGATTGGACCGTGTGAACAATAATGTCAGCGATTGTTGGATGACCTTTCTCTCTGTATTTGGTGTGATTAAAGTCATTGGAATTTAGTTAGTGGTGCTCAAATAGTTATTATACAACTGGAAATATCCAGTGACTTGTCTTCTGAGGAGTCTTGATCGTGTTGTTGACTATTGCGAGAGCTATTCTTTACACAGAACAGATAGAAGATAATGGGTTGGCAGAGCTGACGTTGCCATGTGTCTTTATTGTTTGTCGTGTATATCAGAACGTTGGACGTTTTTGATGCAAACCTCTTTACCTATTAGACGGGAGTGGTGGTATCTGCCTGCTCCCTCTCTTTGTCCATCGCCCCTCTCTCTCTCTTTGTGTCTGTCTCCTCTCATCTCTGTCAGTCCCTCTGATCTCATACCTCCTGCTAAAAATTTTAGTGCACATGGCGCTTTAATTGTCTCGTCTTGCTCCCATTTTTTTCCTCACGTTAACTAGGTCCATTGTGTAACAGTGTAGCCCTTGCTGCCTTAATATTAAAAAGGTCATACCTTGAGAACATTCACATACACTATCCACTATGTAGCCTCTTTGTTTTTATGCTGACTCAGCTCATTCTTTGCCACTTTTTTGCCCTTGATTCTTCCTCTCCTCTTTCCACACTACCCTCCTCTCCTTTCTAGTTCCCTATATTTCTGTATGGGTGACTGGATATTAGAGCCTGTCAACATTTCTATTAACCTACAGGTCAGCAGCAGAGCCATAGGCCCATGGCCAAAGTGATGTGTTGACTGTGGTTTACACTAACCTTGCTACCTGGGGCTAAAGGATAAGAGTGCTAAGACAACGTCTTGGGAGGTCTGATTTATCACCCTGCTTCCCACCAGTTACACTCTGAGCCCCGGGTGGGCACAAAGCAGCAGGTAGAGGTGGGCAGTCTGGTACAGCGGGTCCCAGAATGAGGTGAGATAGTGATATATCTCCTTAAAAAAAGCGCAGTCTGGCAAGTAATGTGGCGTAATATATCTGTATATGATAACACCTAGTGTAAGCTGTCTGCCTGCATTTGTTTAATAAATAAGTAAATAGTTAATGTGGTGGGCAGGGGTTGGCTCCTTTCAACAGACATGACACATAAGATGATGTTTTTTCCAACCAACAGTTGATTTCACTTCTTTGCTCAAAGAGAGTAAAGAGTGAGAGATGTGGAGAGTATAACTGATCGAACTAATGGCTGGAGCTTGAGTCATTCAATATACTCTGCATTGAGTGTGTACGAATAAATACAGATTGACAGA